AGTATTTTGGTTTCGTTGTGTACTGACCAACAATTTTCGACAATGGTTTATTCTTTACAAGAAATAATTGAAATAATCTTTATTTATGGAGAAGAACAACACTGTGCACGCAGAACTGCTCATGTTTTTAATCAAAGACATCCCGATAAAAATGTTGGACATCAGTATGTGTTGAATTTAGTTCATAAATTTCAAGAAACTGGAAGTGTGTGCAATAAAAGTGTCAAGAATCGTAGAGTTTTAACTGAAGCTGCACAAGTTGAGATTTTAGGTCATTTTGCCATAGATCCTCAAACATCAATACAAAAAGTCTCCAGGTTAATAAATATTTCCGTCGGCTCGGTGCATAAAACGTTACGGCTAAATAATTTTTTTCTAAATCGAATTTCTAAATCTTTATTCGAATTCTGCGAATTAATAAGTCAAAGAGCAAATGAAGACCCTAATTTAATTAAAAATATTTGTTTTTCTGACGAGGTAGGATTCTTTTTAAATGGATTTGTCAATAAACATAATTGTAGATACTGGGACAATACCAATCCACATGTTTTTCGGAAATTCTCGGAATTCTCGGAATTCTCGGAAATAAAATTATTGGTCCTTTATTCATGGAAGAAAATTTAACTGGGGAATTGTATTTGGACTTATTAGAAAATTTCATAAATCCCCTTATAACCGAATCTTTAGAAAACCAAATAGATGAAGATGGAAATTTGTTGCTAGACGAAGAAAACCTATTTTTTCAACAAGACGGAGCACCTCCACATTATGCCTTGCCTGTACGAAATTGGCTTAATGAGACATTTCCAAATAAATGGATCGGAAGAAGGGGCGCTATAGAATGGCCAGCTAGATCACCCGACCTAACGCCCCTTGACTTTTTTTTTTATGGGGACATCTAAAAACTGTGGTGTATAAAACTCAACCTCGCGATATTCTTGAACTTAGACGTAGAATAGTGGAGGAGTGTGAGCGAATTACACCAGAGACGCTTCAAAAAGTGCGGGAGGAATTCGAGCTGCGACTTTACCATTGTCTTGCAAACAATGGCGGACATTTTGAACATCTAATTTGATTACAAGGTAATTCTAATACTAATAAAATATTAATAATGCAAATACGATCTAAATAATAATTATTTTAATTTGAAACTTTAAAATGGCATAACTCTGTAAAAAATAATCTGATTTAAAAAAATAATGTGTCAAAAGATTGGAAAAAAAGAGACCTTTAAATAGAGCTATCACATGATACCCCTTCCTATTTAAACTTTTAGAAGTGATATTCACCCCCGCTTAGGGGTTGAAACTGCAGGGTGACAGATACCTGTAAAATTTGTCCCCCCGTAAATAAAAATTGACGTGTTTTTTTGTTCTTTTGTTTTAAAGATATTTTAAAAGTTATCTTGGGTGGCTAGTTTTGAAATGAAAGCACTGTATAGTACCCAACTATCTGTTTTATTACAATCGATCAAATCGGAATACCCAGAGGTCGAATTACAAAAAAAAATCGATAAACAATTTCGATGCATTATACGGCAAATATTTTAAACTTAACGACTTTTGCAAAAGGAGAATAAATTTGATTTATCGGTACATATTCCGATACACGTTATTATAGTGGGAACGTGTTCATTTTTACATACGTACGAAATTGAGAGGTATGTTTTTCTCGTACCTCAATTTTTATATCGACAAGCTACAGCGCTAATATTTTACGCTCGATTTAAATTTTTTTCCAATTAATCCGGAGCCCTACAAGCTGCTTCGATTTTTGACGATCGCTCGGCACAGCATGCAAATTTTTTTCCCGTAGGTGTATACTTTTTTTTCTTCTTATTACCTACTTATATTCGCATATACACGTAATAAATAATATAAGCTTCCTGAGAGTATTTATAAAATTAGAAGGTACTACTAATACAATTATATTTACTATTAATAAACTAATAAAATGTGACATCATGAGTTAGTATGAGCATCGTTTGCGCAGTATACTCCTATTTATAAGAAATGATAGTAATAACTTTCTCTGCATGAACAATTGTTTTATATAGTAAATAACAAGAAAACAGTATAAACGATAATATCCTAGTGTTACGGTTATTTCTATTTGCGTATGTATCTAAGTACCAGCAAGTGCACGCTTGTCATACATATATAAGAAATAATTGAGAAATTCCATATAGAGATTGGAAAAATACTTTCGCCCATTCGTATCTCATCTTATAAAATTTATCGCGCAAAACAGAAATTCAATTAAAAGAGCAGGTCCACAATGCGAGATGGAACTAAATAGAAAATTTGACCCACTGATCGTCGCTCGTAACTGTACAATAATTAAATTGTACGAATCGCCTCGGAAATTGATGGAACAAAAAAAAATCCGTAATTAAATTTTGGCGATTCCATTCCGTCCGTAACCGGCCATTAGCTTGATTTGATTTTTGTAATGGTACACGATGAAAAAACCTCAATCGAATCACCCGAACTCTACCAACGCACGCACACACAATACCCATAATTGATTATGCCTTCTTATTTAATCGGGCTAAGTATTGTATAAATTTTCGATAATTATTTCGACCTTCCGATGCCTCCGATGCCATTATTTATGTTCAAGAGGAAACTGTTGAACCGACAGATCTCTGCAGATAGATTATTAATCCAAACATTTCATTACCACTGGATTTTTTAATGGAAAGGTAGGTGTCAGGATAGCACTAATTGAACATTTTGAAAACAACCTGTTGAATTTTATATCTACACGCCAGGATATATTGGTTATTTGCGGTCGGTGCGAGAAAAATCCCCCGACGATCAATTATTCATATGCGTTATTGATTTATTTGTGAACTTTGAACTCCTGTTAGGTAAATTGAAAAATTTCGGAAAAAATGACGACCGTGGGAATCGTATACATTTCGGTGCTATATCTATCAGTGAGCGCTTAATCAAGATGCCGAGTCGAGTTGGAGATGTGTAGTAAAAGTAACTAAAAATTCAAATTAGTTACAATAAATTCCTTCTGATCGCTGCATTACTTTTGCTTTCGTTTAACGAAGTCAAAAATGAGTCTAAAGGGAACCGGTTCTTTTTCGGGAACTCGATTAACAATCGAATAAAATTGCTTTTTTGTGTAATACAACGATAATTATAACGGCGATTGTTCAATAAGAAAAAGGACGACACAACTTTTACGTAACTCTCGGAGTTAATTATGCTATAAATTTTATAATGAAAGAAAAAATTAAATAATGGCGTACGTTACTCGAAGGATATACGAAACGAGCGCAACACAATAACACGCTCGGTAGATGTTATTAAGTTAATTTTACCTTCTAGTCAGGTAAAAATAAACATCTCCGTACAGATTGCCGATATCCTCAAGACTTCTGTGGATACTGATATTACGCAAAGCATTCTCTAAGTAAATACACATACTAATACCAATTTTTTATTTGACTATACACAAATTAAAAACCACTTAATTACTGGTCGACTTTCTAATAAAGAAACTTAAGAGACTTGAACTTTTGTCCCTAAATCCTGATGAACCCTCGGTCCCCACGACAAAGCATCCATGCGGTTTTCTCTAATTTGTTATTATAATAGAACAAATAGGTGTACCGTTTCACCGTTCTTATCTCCGCCAGTATCGGTAATTTTTTCTAACGCGACCGCCAGTGAATCTACTGACCCTCGGCATGAACCTCAGGCTCGAAAACAATGGTCGTCGTCGTCTTATAGGCATACATCTAAATAACAAAAAAAAATACTTTGACACGACGGACATCAACTGGTTACAAATTCCATCAGGTAAAGCGGACTCCATCCGAATATTGAATACTCGCCGATCGCTGGTTAATCAGTATGCCGGTGCATCTTCGGACACGTCTATTGGATCTTCATTAACTGAGGTTGACAGTACAAAAACATTGACGTAGACGATCGGAGGAAGGTCGCGCAACGATTTACCTGCGTTTTGGTTTGGTTTATGTACAAACTAAAAAAAAATCCAGAACTGAATCTGGTCATTCATTCGCGCTACATGTAAATTACGTATTGGAAAATCTGTATGAAACTAATTGATGTGGATGAACGGTTGCGCCTCTGGTATATATACACATACAAAGAACACGAAGTCCAAGTTCGTCTGCCAACAAACGCTTCCAAGGAAGTGACGAGCTCCCGTCTGACAACCGACAATGGGCCTGTTTGCTGGTTATAGTTGTGTTTCGATGACGTCCTTTCGTTCGGTACGGGTTTTCGTTTCGATTTGGCATCGAGCGATCAGTCATCAGACTACAAAATAATCCTCCGTTCTTCGCCTATAACGCTCCGATGCCTAACAATGAGGGAATGCTGTGGAATAATTTAACTTCAGCCGAGTTTTATGCGGGCGAAACTCCGCCGCTGCGCCGTTTATTAGAAGGAAAACAGAAGACGCGTCTCGTTGGTGTTGGTAGAAAAACAGATAAGCGGAAAAGAGCGCGCCGTCCAATCACCATTTATCACGCTTTACAGGTGTCCATTGTTAACAGAAACGACGCGCTACGTCGTGTCGCGCTGCCGAGAATCTGGAATTAGACCGTGTTTGATACTCCTCTATGAGACGTTGAAAAACGTTTTATCGCGCAAAAATTATTTCTGTACAAATTATAAATCCTACAAGATTTTTTTTTGCTTTTATCATGTTGTAGAACGATGATATTGCTGTTTTCCAATCTATCCTCTTTTCTGATACAGCACAGCAAAATTATTTAAGCTATAAAACACTATAAAACAAAACCTCTATTTCCCACTGTTGTAAATCAATTTATAACAAATTTCAAAAAAAAAAACCGGTGATGAAAACGAACATAAAAGAATAACTACACGGATTACTACAGTCGTTAATCATTGAGCATCTGAACAAAACGAAGAAAAAAATTCGGAGTATTGGATTAACCGGTATTTTTTCTGATAAATTATCAAAACGCATCTTGTGTTGGATTGCAGGCGAAACCACCTCACCGACGGAACCCTTCGAAGCATCGAACGCCCTGCTGGCGCCCAAGCCGCTGAAGCGGAAGCGCATGGAGCGCGGCATCAACAACAACGGGCCGATCTCGGCGCCGACCGACTTCGTCCTGATGCACAACAACAACCACCTGAAGAACGAGCGGCTGAGCCCCGGCACGCCGGACACGTCGAGCCGGTCGCGCAGCGTCACGCCGAGCTCGGCCTCGCACCCCGACACCCCACCCGCCCAGGACAATCCGCTGCTCGGCCGCAACTGCAGCGACTTCATGCGCAGCCTCGCCGCCAAGTACAACAACGCCAATCCCAACGAGTGAGCGGCGCTTTGATAACCCCGCGGATCTCGCACTGTACAGCTTGTTTTTTTTTCAGCTACTTCAATGCAGCGAGGAACGGCTTCCCGCCGCCCATCGATCCCAGATTTAAGCCGGCTTTTTCGAACCTGGTGCCGGTCAATCAGCAGAACAAGGAGAACCACCAAGGCAACAAGCGGTCCGAGTTCCAGGTGATCAATCCGTTTTCCAGCGTTACCGGGGCGGCGGCTATGTTCCCGCCGCTCATCGACATGTCCGCCACGCAGACGCTGCTCGCCATGGTCAGGACCGCCAAAGAAGTGGAACTACAGGTATTTCTTCTATTCTACCATCACCAACTTATCGAGTTAATTGCGGTGTACCTACAGGGTTTGTTGAAAAACGTGAAACGTCCGGATTCGTCCTCCCCGTTGGACTTGTCGGCGGCGGCGGCGCCGCCGTCGAAACGCTCCCATGCGAAGGCTCCGGCGAGCTGCAGCCCCCCCGTCGCCCAGACGACGACGACGACGCCGCCGAAGCGCTCGCGCAGCGAGAGCCCCAAATTGCACGAGGACGTGTCCAGCTGGTCGGTGGACGACGTGGGCAATTTCATCGCAGGCATCGACATTTGCGCCGAATACGCCCAGGTAAGCGCTACAATTGCACATTCAAAAGCGATGGAGACTACCATTTTCTATATACGATTTTCGATTCTCCAAAAGTCGAGGTTTCGATGCCGCCGCGGCCGCACAGCGGTCACGAATCGATCGGTGTATACAGACGAATAATTCAAAAGCGGAGCGATATTCCTCCCATTGAAATATAAAAGTCGTCTTATAGATGTTTCACGCCGTGTCCACAATGGTACAGATGTGTTCTCGCGTAAACTTCTTGTATACGTGACACGGTGGTGGAATCAAGTCGAGGAGGCAGAGAACACGGAACGTGACCGAACGGTCGGCGTTTTTAAAGAGCCATCGCTGCTTCTTCTTCGTCTCCCGGTCGCCGCGAAACTGGAACAGGACCGGAACGCTTTTTTTACGATTGAAAAAAATAAACAAAACTTGAACCAGTAAATACAACGAATAAATAAACCCACTCCCACTTGCGATTGTAAATGTACAATTAAGAGCCTCCGATATATTTGTATCGAATATCGACGCGGTATTTGAAGAACTCTGAAGAAATCTGGAAATGGTACTATTATTATCGAACCAAAGCGTTACATGCATCAAAATAATTATTCGAGTAACTAGTAGGTAACTTACAGGAGTAGAATACTGAAGTTATTAGGCGACTGCGACAATTTAACCTCATCGGTGTTGCTCGAGATCGAACGCAATATCGCGACGAAAACGAAATCGCATCGATTTCGGTGTCGCAAATGCCGCGCTTTCGTCTCTCCGTCACATGTCATCGCTCAAATATGATTTATTTTACGACCTTCGCATTTAACGCCCGAGCTCTCTCGCCGCACATACGACCGTAAACGCGATAAAATAAACACCTGTTGCTAACTATATAAAAGGCGAGTGTGTAAATCAAGGCGTTCTCTAGCGCGAGGGGCCCGCGCGATTCCTCCGAATGCGATCGAATTTGTTGTTTTTTTTAGATATATTTTCGAATTCGAAACGATACATGTGTACTCGTTTCGTACGAATTCCGAAGCTTCGTTATACGGTTACAGCGTTACTAGAAAGCGTAGAATTATTAAAGGAAAACGGTTTAATTAACGTGCTAAATAATTAGTTCCCGAGCGCGTTGTTAAAATTAAACCAGCAATTTAAATAGCTCGTCGACACGATATACACATGTTATATTACTCGATTTCTCCCAAACCAGTCGCTTATGATAAACAACGATTCGCCCTGTATACGCTCGTACGCGAGCCAACCTCGGACGATTTACATTTTATTACATTGTTATGGCGCACAATTACCGCTCTAACTCCAATCTAAATCTCTCGTAGATCCTAATCTCGATGTAAAAACGCGCTTAAATTAAACTATTTCGATCGAGATAACCCATCTTAACTCGGCCCAATTACACAACGAATCGTCCGTTCGAAAAATTCGTCCACCAGTGGATAAATCGCGATCGGTCATAACGTTCGGTGGAACACAAACGCGGAGGGCGGCGATCGGTCCAATAAATACGGCTATCGTTTCCGCGGACCGTTCGAACCGAGAGGAAGATGGTATCGGACGGCATCGATACGTGGAACGGAGATCCGAATGACGCGAAAATACGAACCAGCGGGCTTTAGTAGAACCCGATGATGGAGAGATGCGGGCACCCCGAGACGAGACCTATTGACCCTTCGTTCTCTACCGAGCGGCGGCGATAGCGCTGGAAATAGGTACTGGAATAGCCTATATATTTTAACGAACGGACGCAAAAAGGGATGATAGATTTCTCGGAGACTTCGGAACATAAAACTACCTATAAGTGAAAGTATAATACCCGATGGAAATCCATCGAATAAATTAGCTATGTGCAACTTTCTTGCGGCGCGAAACTGTTGAAGTGTAAATGATCTACAAAATTGAAAAAATGCTTAACAGATCACCCGGTACATCTGTAACGACGTACCTCCGGCTGATCGGATGGAAACGGAAAAATAATTCGAAAATAATAATATAAAAGAGGCGATCTCTTTGGTGTGTTTCTGCGTATATACAGCGCCGCTACCATTCAGAACGATCTAGTGACCGGAACGAAATGCGGTTGAATTTTCAATTGTTTCACCGTTGGGTCTAGTAGTCCGTGAACGATGTCCGAAGATGATAAATTCGATTTTTCTATAGGCGCAGATAACTCGAGAGAGACCGAAAAACGGTCTTTCAATTGGTACGTAAAATATAAATAAGTGACGAGTGTTCGATAAAAAAAATATATCGTTGGAGATCAAGGTTTGGTCGATTAGGAAAAAAAAAAACTGAAACAAGGTCGAGTGGTCAACGTTTGGCGTAGCCATCGAGCGAATAATCTTAAATAGGTACAGCAATAATTTGAAAAGGATGTATTTAAAATTACGTAGATACTGTAAAACCTATTGAAATAGATTTATTCTCTCTACCTTTTCAACTGCAAGTGCCTCCGGTGCAGGGCCTGCACGGTTCAGGTCCCATTAGGGGCGAGGGGGGCACCGGTAGCGGCGGCCGGCACGCGCCCGCAGGCCCGTCCGTCCTAATAACAGCCCATGGTTGGGCCCCGTCGTTGCCGGTCGGCCCTCCCGGCTAAACTGCCGCATCGCGATCTTCTTATTATACGGTGCGCGCCGGTAGGACGATCGTGAATCTCTCGGGATAATTTACTTAGCGAAAACGCGCAAAAAAGAACTCGCGTAATGACCGACGATCGGACGGGGCGTGCGAATTTTCGGACGAGAAGTTTGTTAAATGTATTGTTGTAATATAAAAGTAGAGAGAATACTGTTTGAATTATCAATGCAATAAAAGTAGGGAGAAAAGTGTTTGAAATGTTTAAGAAAAGTAGCTATTAAAGTAGGGAGAAATGTGTTTGAAATATTATTGAAAAATAGGAACAAAAGTAGGGAGAAAAAAATATGAATAAAAATGCAAATAATAAGTTCCTTGCATATAATTGAGACTAAACGATGTCCAATTAAGAGTAAAAAGTATTTAATATTATTTAGTCTCAATTTGTACTTAACAAGACCTAATTTCGATGCAATCTTATGAACTTTTAATTACATTTTTTTGGTTGTCCAATTCCCGCTTTATTTATGTACCAACGCGACTTTCTCTCGCGGATAAAAAATTCCAACTTTCTTCGATTTTTATTCGGGCCTTTTACTCTCTTTGGAGGTATTTGACGAGCGCGCTGATTGCGATGCGCTCGGCCATTCATTCTTCTACCTACACTCCCGGCTTTACCTTCGTTGGCTGTCGCTTTACGCCGACGGAGGCCGCCGCATACCTGGATAATTGCCCCCTTTCGCGAGATCACCGGACGTCGCTCGGTTTTGCGCACCGAAGGCGGTATACTTACTTTTTGTGCGAGTTTTCCACTCCAAAAAAAACCGCGCGCCTAGTTGAAACGTCGCCTCTAATATCACGTTTTTTTTTAATCCAGCGAAATTATTCACGTATTCGAGCGAGCATAAATCCAGATAATCGACTACAATGACACTCGTAATGTAAATTTCGAAATTAGTTCAACGTCGCAACGAAGAACACCTGCGTCGTGTTTTGAGCACTCGCGCTCAGACGAAAAATCCGATGGAATTTCGCTCGTGCAGCGGCGTAGTGGAGATTTCCCTCTCGCGCTAGTTCCATCGACCGCGGCGTCGAAATCTCCCGCTATCAATTTTCGATTTACTGTAAAATTAACAGCGCCCGTTTACACGGCGAGCACCGGCCACCGTGCCCAATCGCAAAAGGTAGTTTAATGTAAAACGCTGAAAGTCGAGCAGAATTTCGTAATACGTGCGAGCGATCGCCGCCGACATTTTTTCTGGGATCGAAATCGTATCGGAATGTCACGTTCTAATTTTACGTTTCGTATTCTTTTTTGTTTCGAAGACGCTTCGGCCATGATTTCAACTTCATTCGGCCATCACTCGATCGTATCGAATCAAAAAGTTTGATAAAAGTAGGGAGAAAAGTGATTGAAATTCGAATCAGCAAAAAGTAGGGAGAAAAGTGTTTGAAATATTTTATGAAAAAAGTAACAAAAGTAGGGAGAAACAAAAACTGGGGAAGAAAGTTGGGAGAAAAATGATTAACATAATAAAATTAAAGAATGATAGATATCATACAAAAAACCAAATACCTAGTTTTCATTTTCTCGAAAATTTCGAAAACAATGCAGACAAAAACGTTAATGATCATTTATTACTCGTTTTTCCACAGTTATATCAATTATGGTATAATAGCATGGGGCGGTGCATATGAAAATAACCTCAATTTGCTTCAAAACCTACAGAACAGAATTCTGAAAATTATCAATAAAAAAAACTTTGTAACGCAAAATTACCCCTTAAATCTTGAGCAGTTATTTGTATATAACTCATTGTTACACCACTATGGCGCGTTAAAAAATAAATATATAAATTCAGAGAGCATAACTAGAAATAAAAATTTACAGATGCCAAAAAAAACGAAAACTGTAAGCAATAAAAATAGCTATATTGTAGCATTAAGAACATACAATGTATTGCCGAAAGATCTCAAAACTATGTCTATCAACACAAGTACAATTAAGATAAAACTAAAAAATTGGATAAGATCTTGTTACTATAACACAAATATACTTACAAGTCACTAATTTTTAACGTTATAAAGTGCAATGATTTAAATATACGTTTTTGCAAACAGTGTACAAACTGCAAAATAACTCGACAGAGTCCTTAAGTTAAGTTAGATGTAAGATAGTTTTAAGTAAGCCAGGCCTATGTACAGGTAATTGTATTACCTCTATAGGAATTTACAGATGTAAATTTGTAAATTTAACTGGTTAATAAATAATAAATAATAATAATAAATATACTAGTATTACCAAGTAGCACAAAATGCATCTAAAGTAGTACCTATAACATAACGTAGGAGTAGATATAATTTTAGGGAGAGTCCCGTTTTCGTGGGCGCGAATCGCGAACCATCTTCGAAAGAAAAGTTACACG